TAAAAGTGTTCAACAATCTGCCACAAAGTATTAAAAACTTGGGCAATGATACTAAAAAGTTTAAATCAGAGTTAAAGAATTATCTACATGCTCATTCCTTCTACTCTTTAGATGAATACTTCAATGTAAATAGAGAATGATGTAAAATTAAGTTATATTAATTTTTAAGCTAAAATTGCCTGTACTTATGTATGTAACCTTTTGACTTGTTCTGTATCCAAAGGTACTAACCTGCTTAGGATTTATAGAATGTAAATAAATTCAGTTCAATTCAATTCAATTCAAAAACGTTGTCCATGCAGCTGATCCTTCACAAATCCAAAAAGATGGTAGTTGGAGGGTGCCAGCTCAGGGCTATAGGAGAGGTGTGAAAGAACTTCCCACCCCATCTTTACAATTGCTTCCAATGTGAGGTGAGCGGCATGAGGGCGAGCGTTGTCATGCAGGATGATGATGTTTCATCCTGGACGTTTATCGTGCAATGCACGATGGAGCTTGTGCAGCGTCTGGACATAACGAGCAGCATTGATGGTTTGTCCAGGTTCCAGGAATTCGGCCAGAATAAACCCCTCTGCATTCCAGAAGACTGCCCATCGCCTTCGCAGCTGATGGCACTGTCTTTGCCTTCTTTTTTGATGGAGAATGCAAATGGTATCATTCCATACTCTGCCGTTTCGTTTCAGGCTCGAACAGGTGAAACCAGCTTTCATCACCTGTCACAATACAGAGCAAAAAATCATCACCTTCGTGTCGATATCTCTGCACCAGTTCTGAGGTGATGGCTTTTCGCTGACCTTTGTGGTCTTCGGTCAATAACCACAGGACCCAACAAGCACAAACTTTCCTATAGCCCAAGCTTTCAATCATCTCCTGTACTGCACTGTGCCCTATTCCAAGTTTTTGGGCTATTGTGTCCACAGTCACACGCCTGTCATCTTCAATGATCTCATCCACTCTTTCCTTGTTGTGTTCAGTTGAGGCTGTTCGAGGACGACTGATCCAAGGCTCATCTTCAATACTGGTGTTCCATCTTTTAAATGTTTCACCCATCTTCGAACACTGCTCGCGCCCATGCACACACTTCCATAAGCACACTGAAGTCTCTGGTGAATTTCTGCAGCAGGGATTTCCTCTTTCACAAGAAATTCGATGACAGCACATTGCTGAAACAACATATCGTTGTCGGCCATTTTGTTAGGAGTGATACTGGTCACATGATGAAAGCTATTGATGTCACAAGACACTCAAGGTTAACACAACAGCTGGTTCCACCTACCACAGTACTCTCTTTCGTCTGCTGTTCTCAGGTTGCATGCAAAAAGAAGTTGCTCATGACTTTCAGTATGACCTACATATATATGTAGTTAGTCAGTCAGTTAGTTATTTAGAGAGGGTGGGTTTCCCCATGCACCGCGACCAGTTTGATCTATTGTGCTTCCCTCTATGATATTCTACCAGTCTCTTTACCCTACCGATAAATGGTGCGTACCATCAGTCCCACCGAGCAAGCGAGTTTGGCCACTTGCTTAGCGGTGTCTATAATGCTTCCCCCATCTATCAGAGCCTTAGAGACTATTGTTGGGCGGGAAACGTCCTGGAATTTGGCTCAGTGATCCCCTTTGGGGATATGAAGTTCTTTTAGGTGCCGTAAAGTTACGACACGGGACACACAGCTTAAAGTCCCTCCCGGAGGACTTGTTCCCTGAATTTTTCCGCCCTTAAAAATTTGACGACCTCCACCGGGTATTTGAACCCGCGTACCACGAATCATGAGGTGGGAACGTTACCTCTAGACTACAGAGGCCGTTTACGTATATATGTAAATTCTGTGATTTTTTTTAGAATAATTTCATCATCTGTCCTTTTCACTAAAATATAATGTGTAATGAGTTGAAGTCGTGAATGTACATTTCAAAAACATTATTAATCTTGATACCAGTAACAATAATAGTGGTAGTAGCAACAAAAGTAGTAGTGTCAGTGATAAACAACTGCAATTTATCTCATGATGTGTGAACAGAGACCTATGAACTCTTGCATTCGTTACCATCTTGCAATAAGCTTAAGAAACAGCACTGTAAACTTATGTGTCCATTTTTGCATAAAATTAATGATATTCAGAGATACAAAGCCTTAAATGAGAGATTAGAAATATAACCATTCACATAATTTAAGTGGCTTTGGTCTTAAATGTATTCAGTTATTTATGTAATGGGAAACCTGAATGTCATAAAACTATGTAATTTATTTGAAATATTTTATTTTTAAATCCTGGAATACCTATGTGCGCACACTGTCATATAGTCTTGAAGATAAATTGTGTATAAAGCCATAGAAATATTAAGTTGTATCAGGTGTGTGCTATTTGTTGCTTCTGAAAGCTGCCATGAATTGTAATTCAATTTATGTTTCAGAGCATCCACAGGGTCTGTACCTCTACGGGGAATTCCAAGCCATCTTCTTGCATGCCCTAATACACGAGGGGCTGAGGAGAGCAGTGAAGCAGACAGTGATTCATCAGGTGGGCCCCCACACCCCCATCCACCTCCCCTTGCTGACATGCGACTAATGGAGAACAATGCCAGGTATCAGTCCATTCTTGTTTTCTTTGCAGCACTAAACACTGATGCTTTGCTCTTGCTTCTCGGTAAACTGAAGGGGACCACTTGAAGGGTTATGTTAACCTTTGTTGGTGCCCTGGTTTTAAACAGGTGATAAAGAGTATTAGTATTTTAGGAACTTGTTGATCGATCAGCTGGACCATGTACAAAAACATGCAGCTAAGGCTGGGGCCACATGAGTGCACAAAATTCGTCCGGTGTAACGAACGTACTTTGCTGCGGACGTTGCTGAGGACACCACACAGTTGCAGAATGAGTTGCATAGTTTTTTGTCTGCATTGGAGCCAGAATAAAGCGTAGCATTTGCCTGTCTTGTTTATTTCTACAACAGATGTCACGATGTTTGTTACAACGGACATAAGACTTTTACCGGTTCTCACGGTCTCTTAGCTTGCAGATTTCTTATATTTTTTCTTCTACCCTGAAGATGGAGGCGATACGTTCCTCCGAAACGTCGGTTAACACCACATATACACGGTGCCAAATCCCAGAAGACTGCTTTCTTCATTGACAGTATGAATACTTCAGAATAATAGAATTAAACAACATTGTACCTCCTCTGCAGTCAGTAAAGTAACCCATTTTCAGCTGTGAAGGTTACATTTTTAAAAAGAAAACTGATTGTCAAGCCTAATGTTGTAGGAGATTGGGTGTTATTGGAATTTCAACCACTGTTACCACTCATCACACCCTAACTGAGTTGCCTGTTCCATCATTAAACATAAAAATATGTAGGCCTCATGATGTTAGGCATAAAATATGTACAAAGAAGTGCCAAAAACAATACCCTNTCATTAAACATAAAAATATGTAGGCCTCATGATGTTAGGCATAAAAATATGTAGGATGGTAGTCTGGAAGCTATGAAACTGATTTTGGATACCATTACATCTCTCCTCCCAGCAAATGTGGATCTCTTGCTGCAGAAGCCAGATTTTCTACATCTCTTCACAAATTAAAAATTTCAGATACTTGTAAACAGAAACAAATTCCAGCTGAATAAATTGGGTCATAGTGGAAAATTGTGGTTACTTCAAATCTACAGTTGGTGAAGGATAACTTTCTTTTGAAGAATTTGTAAACAAGTCACAAGTAAGCTTAATAAACTACAAGGAAAACTGTTGAAAATTTTGCATATTATGTTATAGGGTACACTCTGTCCAGTCTATTTTGTTGTTTCATTCCTCTGTATGTTTTACACACACTGTGTTATTTCTCCATCCCACTGTTACATAATTCCACATATTTGTTCACATCACTGCTGTGCATTAGTAAAGGTTCCCTTATTGTCTCAGGTGCCGTCGTTTCCACCCAGTAGCTGCCGACGTTCATGACACATGAAGACTTGTCCCATTTCCCTCATGTAACTGAATGTTTGCTGGTGATCAGAGTGCACGAGAGTCTGTTCATCTCTCATGACGAAGTGTGATATTATGGCTGAATCCTTAGTATATTTTATAAACTTACGTTTTATCCAACGTTGGAAGAAAGGAATGCACAGTGGAATGGGTATGATAATTCAGATCTCCTAATATTTGTTGGTTTATTTTTAATTAATTTACATATGTTTAATTTATTAAGAATATGACTGCTATTATGTTTATTGCTCACTTCATTCATTTGTGCTAGTCATGTGACCTCCAAGAAGCTCAAGGACAGCCATTACTATTTATAAAGATTATAATGAACATCTCTAGTCAGAGCTGAAGTGTTCTGGATCTTTAAAGAGATTATTTTTTATCCAACCACTCCTTGCGTTTAAATGTTTGAGGGTGTCTGGAAAGTTCCCTGAGATTTACTTCGTTTTGCTGCTGGAACTAATTTGAATAAGCCCAAAAACATAAAACTCGCTGTGAGGTTTGGGGTCCTTATAGCAGAGACTATGAAGAGTATTATCTTGTAGGATGTGATGCTTTATGCTCTCATAGAAGTTTAGTGCCGTTTCAGAGGAACAGGCTATCTCCATCTTCAGGGTCAATGCTTGTTTCTCAGCTTATTGTTAATGCTAAAGATGGAAGCAGTATGTATTCCTCTAAAAGTCAGTAAACTTCTACGAGAGCACAGAGTACCATATCCCAGAAGGTTATTCCCTGTTGACATTGATGTGTTTGTTTCTTTTAAAGGACAGCAGTGTATATTGACATTTATGGTGCTCGTAGTAATAATTCACATTTAAAAGAGAGAAAGAAAAACATTGTTACACTTTGTACATTGGACATACTCAGTGACCACTGTGCTTGTTTGGAAACACTACTCCAGCTTGTTGCTGCATCACCAGGCATGTTCTCAAGTCGTCAGTGGACTGCATCAGAACACAGAGACATTCTGATTATCGCTGTCAACCTGTGAACGTCAAGTGATAAAAGCATATTATACCACCAGTTAAGTTTTAGATGCTCCTGGCAACTTTGCAGACACACCTCTGTATATTGCTTTCCTAGTGGTTGGAATACTTAATTCTCTAGAATGATGGATATTTTAATGTTTGTTTAGTGGCATCCCCAAAACAGTGATGCCATCTGCTAGAATGTATGGCTGGGTGATAATATAATGTAAGGGTCAGTGGCATCATTTGTGTGTTGTGGGTGACCCTTTATGAGAGATGAATTTTAAGGAAGTTGATGTGGATGTCTGAGATTAAAAATACACATTACTTTGATAGGTGATACCAAAGCTGTAAGTTTGTAGTTACAACTTGTGTACAGCTTGTGTTTCATGCCATGCATTGTAAATATTCATGGAATACTGTATATTTTGTTTGTATTTTATTTTTAAGTCTTCAAATTAAGCTTGTAACATTATGGAGAATAAGAATAATAAAAATACTATGAAATATTTCTCTTCTTACAGATGTGTATATGTATGCAAACAGAATTATTTCAAAATTTATATAAGATCCTTAAATTGAAAGTGACAATGATAATGGAAGAGGAGGAGGTCAAACTTTCTGCAAGAAACAGAATAAACTAGAAATGAAGGCTATATATACATACTTCATTTTAGGTATTAATTTTTTGTTGTACTTAGAGAATTCAGTAGAAACAAAGGGCCCCCCACCAGTCTCTCGGTTTCTTGATATATATATATATATACACAGCATACCACTATTGTAATTAATTTTTATTTATTAGTCTTCTTTCTATACTTTTAAGTTGTTTTTGTACAGTTTAATTTTATATTTCATTAAATTAAGTTACATAATTTTTTAAGAAAATTCGCAGTCCCAGAATCTTAAAAAAGAGTTCCAAAAAGAACTCATAAAGCCTATTTTCCTATTGCACACACTTGCAGTCCTACAAATCTTGAGTTCTTAAATTTATATACTGGCAATATAACACTTATACACATCCCTTCTGTCTTAAATGCAACTTTGTTTAAAATTTCTCTTTTACATAAAACTAAAAAATTCACCATTGGAAATTGATACATGTTGTGGCTGTACTCAGTCATCTTCAGGCAGCTGTCTAACTTCTCAAATTACTACACTGTATTTCAAATGTAATTAAGATTGATTAATTGTTAAGTTAAAATATTTCAATGCTTTCTGTTTTTCATCATCCACTCATTAGAAGACATTTGTTGGAGAATAACAGTCATTACGTTTTCATGTACTGCTTTTCTTCTGTGGCGTCAGTGGTTTGTGTGTTATTTGTATAGCTGGTATGGGTGTTGGTGTTGTGTTATTATCTTATTATTCCTCCAGCTGCACTAGGCCCTGGGGTTTTCTCAGCCTCTAACAGAAATGAGTACCAGGAATTAATTAAATAATTTTCCTGGGGAGTAAAGAGCAGCCGGCGCCTAAGGCTGACAACCTTACCACCATCTTTGAGCTGATTAGATAGTGTGGGACCCTTAACGTCTCACAACCCTATGGGCCTTCACGGCCTGGTACAGGGATAGCTTTACTTTTTTTACGTTCTTATTATTATTTTACTGCAATTGTGTGTTCACCCGGTGGCAGTAGAACGTACACAGCTACAGACAAGGAGAGTCTATAACATAAAGGAACAATACAAAAAAAGTACAGTACAGAAAACAGGGTACACACAGTGCAAATCCAAACATATGAAGTTGTAAAGGAATCACATACTAGTGTTCGTTTCGCTGCACTCGAACAAGGACACTTCACATTACTTCGCTTGACTCATTCAACTCTGCCTAAGGCCTCTGTACTTGCAACAGCTTTCCTAACCCTCTTTCTAAAAGTGGTTAGTTTACAGGGGAAAGACGCTAGTATGCCTGGAGGTAAACTGTTCCAATCCTTTATGGTCCTATTTACAAAGGAATATTTGCCAACATCAGTTCTTTATTTTCTGCTTCTAACTTTCCAAAAATGACCGTCCCTACTCAGGTAGCATGGTTTAAGCAGGCTATCCCCTATCGCTTTCCAAGCCGGTCTCCTGGTGTATGCCTTGTAGAGGACGCACTGTGCCCCATTCATATGTATCTTTCTATGCTCTTGGATTAGTTGCGTGTGTGTCACTTATCATCATCATCATCATCATCAGAGATGGCTAGGTGCTCACACAGGAACTGTAAGAGACCTACAGAGAAACTAAATGAACGATTAAAAGGGAAGTGAATATAAATGAAGGGTTGAAATTGGGGTTGATGTGTCACAAAATAGGATATAATTTTGTGTTTAATCATTCAAAAGAGGTATATACATAAAATTAAAAAAAAAAATTAAGATAATGAAATGATGGGTCAGATGTTACCAGGGACTTCTGCAAGAAATTGAGAAAAAATACTAAGAGGAAAAAGATAATAGTGGAGAATGGTACAGAGAGATAGAATAAAATTTAGGACAGATGAAACAGAGACAACAGTTAAGAAGTCGGTAAATGGGAAGTCACCTAGACTTGTAAGTATCTGAGTGGAAGATCATTGTCATGGATTAGGCCATATGTGGTCTGTTCTTTTGGATATGTTTCATCTTCTTTGGTGTTGACTGACAGAATTTTGTTTGGAATGTGCCAGTCTCATATTCATTGAGCATGATATTTCCATTCTGGTCTGGATTACAGCATTTTATTATTTAGATTAAAGATGTTCAGCGCTTCCATAATTTTAATATTTCTTATTTGGTTATTCTTTGTGTAGCCTGATACACCCCTAAAGAATTTTGTCTCTGCAGTGTCAATTTTTGCTTCCTATTTTCTTTTGTTTTAGTCCAAAATTTTGGTCCATATGTAAGTGTAGGTACTGCCATAGCTTTTTAAAACTTTGTATGTCTTGTCTTGTTATTCATTGTTCTTCATATTATGCTGCACGTTTGATTAAATCTGTCCATTTTTATTTCTAAATCTTTCTTATTTGTTACTTTAATTGTGTACCCTATATGATTAAAACTATTTACTTTTTCAATTATGTTAATGTTTATTGCAGTTTTAGTTCTTGCTTTCTTCTTTCTTGTCATAGCCATTGCCTTTGTCTTATTTACTGAGATCTTCAAATTATATTTTATAGCTCTATTCTGTGCATATATTTTGGTACATACTTTGGACTGTTCTTATTAAATGTATTGGAAATCCCCTTTCTGCCATGATTTCCTATAATTTTTCTTCTTGCAGCTGAATCAAATGCTTTTGCATTGTCTATGAAGAGCGGATTCTAAAGGACTTTCAGTAAAACTGTTTAATAAAGAAGCCCAAGGGAGACACATTCCAGATGAGAGAGACACAGAATTATTTGTCATCTTATATAGAGATGCAAGTGTAAAGGGAGTGGTACAAAATTAAAATAACAGTAAAATTTAATCATACAATTGAAAAATATGAACATGAAAATAATTCCATGCAACAAGAACAATATGTGTCCCACATTATGAAGATTTGATATGGGTCTACAATTTGCAGAAATGATATGAAGGTAACAAGTCCATTAAGAAAAAGAATTGCACACAGACTCTTGAATACACTGTTATCATCAGCACAGGCTAGCGGTGAAGGGGTTAAGGGCCAGTTGTTGACTTATTCCAGCCTCGCCTGTCCAATAATCTTTTCAGAGGTCTTTCTTGAGTCCTTGATCCATTCTGTTTGTGATTTTTAATAGGGCTGTAGTCCATTCCTCTCCATTCTGTCAACATATTGAATTCAGCAATAGTGGGGGGAGGGAAATTAATATTGTCCATGTACTTAACTAATTAAGCACTACACAATGAAAATACATGGGGGAGTGGATGTATAGATCCAGGTTTTCTTGACCTTGGCACTAGTTGGAGGTGAGTTGTCAGCTCCACGCCCCAGCAGCTTTATCCCCTGGGGAGAGAGTCCCTGATACCCATTTGATAAGAAGCTGGGTGGGCCCTAGAGCTGGTCTGGATACCAGGACTCAAACTCTGGCCCCTCAATCATCCAGCTCATAGCCAGTCACTATACCAGCTGTGCTATCCTGGCTTCTGTTGAATTCAGTTGCTTTTATGATTGTAATTTTGTTCAGTATTAGTTTCTTTAATGTCTTCATTGATTTTATGATCCGTCAGAGTGTATTTTGGTTAAACATTGCTGACAGTTCAAAGTCTGATGATCGTCTGTGAAACGTCCATAATTTTTAACCAACCGACATGGCCGATAGTGCTAGAAGATCTTGTCAATTACTTTATATGTTTGGTCATCACAAGCAAGGGGTGGACCTTCTGTATGTGCTTGCTTTATTCTGGACTTTGGGTTTATTTTTTGTTTTTTTTTTTCCTCCACTTGATCTTTATTTGTTAAAGAATAGTTGTATTATTTCTTAAATATTCATTATTATTTGCTTTATACATGTATTAAATGACATTGCTTTGGAATCTTTAATTTAGGTTAAATTATATTTTTGTAATTCTTATGGCGATACAGTTACAGCAACTGCAGTTAATTAATTCACAGAGTTTACAGACTACTCTTGTGGTCTCTTTGCGTGCAAAGTGAAATAGTTTCAGGATGTTCCTGTTCATATGATATCCTGCTGTCATGTTTGCATTTGTGCATGATGTTCGAGGTAATTTGGAAGATGTATTTGCTTTCCTTGATATGTCACCCTCATCATAGTACCAAGGACTGCTAACAATTTTCCCATGGTGATGATATTAATTTATTAGCCACATAACGCAATTACGAAAAAAATTTACACCTAACAAGTTTTGTAGTTTTGTCAATAGAAGGAATACTTCAAGAGGTTATCATGTCAGGAATTGGTTTTATTTCCATCTTTAGGTAGGCAAATTTGTACCCTGTTGGAACTCTTGCTATAGCTGCTCTCAGGCTGTGGTCATAGGGCAGGGAGTAACCCAACCAAAGTAGTCTACAGAATAGAACCAATTTCTGAAAAGCGGTAAATTGTCCATGTGTTTAATTAATTAAGCACTACACAATGAAGACATATGGGGGAGTGGATGTATAGATTCATGTATTCTTGACCTCGGCACTAGTGGAGATGAGTGGTCAGCTTCACGACCCAGGGAAATAGCCCCCGGTACCATTGGAAATGAGGCTTGGTGGGCCCCAAAACCGGTCTGGACGACGTGGAGAGGAGAAAAATCTTGCCCCTACCGGGTCTCGAACTCCAACCCCCCGGTCGTCCAGCCTGTAGCGAGTCGCTATACTGACTGCACTATCCCTACTCCTCTGAGAAGTGGTTTTTATATTAAAATTTAAGACAAAGTCGAAATACGTAAGTAGGCCAAAAATTGTCTCTCACAATCATCAAATAACTTTAAACTTCGTGATTTTGTTACACAGTAGGAAGTACTGATGGAAATTTTGACATATATGTCCGTTTATATATGTATATCTGAATAAATATGCCACAAATCTATTAAATTTGAAACTTAATTATATAGTAATAATTAATGAAAATTTAAAAAA